TACAGTTTTCACATTGGTATTAAAGTACAAACAGAAACCGAACCAAGACCATCAGCTTTTGGCAGATAGAGGAAAATCCTGAACAGAAAGAGGATCCTAAAGCACCACCAAATTAAAAAAATAAAATTAAACACTGGCTGCGACCATTTCGATTCAGCTGTAGCAGTACATTGCCCTGATAGAAATTTTTAAAGAAAAAAAAAATCTTATTTTTTGCTGAGCTACACATCTGACCAAAACAGATACCTACAACTTTGTGTTGGTTAGCAAATAAGCCGACAGGAACCGTATCTGCGGACAGTGTCAGCGGGCCTTTTGGCGTCAAGGGGCTCCGCTGACTAGTGATAGCAGTCGGAGGAATCGAGAGTGCTGAAGTTGCCCTGTAGGGGGCGCACATGCAGAGCTGGCACCGTCAATTCTGGGAATAAACGGCTTTTTTTTCCATGACCATATGGTTCCGGGACGCCGTCTTGTGCGTGAGCAGTACGGGACACACCGTCTAATGATGCCGGCCAAGTTAGTTGCTAAATATGTAGACATCCTTGTTTGGAATGTTTAGGCAGGTGGAATAACCTCCCTTGTTGACACAGTTATTGTACAAAATATTTTTTAAAGACCACTTACCTGCACTACAAAAAATATATAAAATAATAGTAATAATAATAAAAATATAAATCAGATAAAAATGCGCAAACGGTGAGCCAGAACGAGAGCCCGACCGATTCTAAAGTCCAGTAAGAATGCTCCGATTATGGCAAAAACACTCTGTGGTCCTCAAGACGCACTGTATACAATAGCTGCACACAGAAAGGAATGGAAATCAAAACAGTGAAGAAATTATACAATTTCAAGATTGTCGTTTGCCTGCCTTTTTACAGTTTTTCTTAAATTCGCCTTTGATGAGAAACAGAAACGCAAACAACCTGTACACCACAAAACTGGCATCTTTCCACAAATACATTTCGCTTGTCCCTTGTATAATTTACAAATGCATATCTGTTACAATCGTTATTTTTTTTCCTTTAATTATCGCGAGTTTCGTGAGGTCAGAAAATTCAGCAGCGTTCCAAACGAGGTTTACTCCAAATCGCGGGACTGAATCCATCGCTAAGGTGAACTCGGATGTGAGCAATGCAGAGCAGGAGGGCGACGGTCCGGCTGCCGCGATCATCTGTCTCCCTGAAATGACTGGGGACAGTCCGGGGCCGGAGAAAAATGAAGGGGAGAAAAATTGACAGACAGGTGGCGGAGAGTACTAATCGGCCAATTAATCAATACCAATCAGTAAAATGTACTGTATGTACTATACTTTTCAAACTACATATGATTCAAATATACTGAAAAGGTTGTTAATGTTTTTGTAATTTAGTCGCCTTTACTATTTGGGGGAACCCACACCTCTGAGTAAGAATCCATTCTATGGTCTCCCACATCTGCCTGCCTGTCTCGCGCTTCCCACAATGCATTGCTTTAGTGTCTCACCCCTCTGGGATTAGGTCCATATAAAATGAGCTTCCAGCTGACTCTGGAATCACTCTGGATCCATCCACAGCTAAAGAAAACACAGTAAGGTTTAGCCTCTTGACTAGTTAATTTGCATATTTCTGTAAGGAAGCGTCCTTACCAATCTAAACAGCCTATGGGTGGAGATGGCCCTCAGAGTCTGATCAGAGGAAGGCTGTTTCTAGGTAACAATGACGCACATTAAAATAAAAATATACTCCTGTCTGAGGTTTGGAATTGCACGTCTGCTGGACATAGGCAGTATTCTTGTGGCTAAGGGTGACAGTGAGGTTCATCCAAAACTTGGGTGTATTCTTAGTGGACTTCCACGGTTAAAGGTCATCCCTCCACGACTCAAGGACCAAAAGTATCAAATCACTTTCAAATGGGTCACAAAAAGAGCCTTCTCTCACACTCTGGCATCTTCCAAAAGCAGTATAAGGGGCAAAAAACAAACAGCCTCCGTTGTTAAAGGCATCTCGGTCATTAATACTCGTATCCATGACCTGGCTGCTATGATTATCAGCTGCGTCGCAATTCTCGTCTTGGGTCGTCCAGCGGGACGCATTGCACCAGTGCGAGATGGGTGTCCCGTCACAGATTCCGGCTGCTTCGGTGTAGGAAAGGGTACTGCCAAGCTGAAGGTGGATTTTCAGTCTCGTTATCCGTCTAGTAATAGGGGCGGGAGCCTTGGCAGTGCATTGGGAGAGAAGCCAAGAGCATTACTGCGCAGGACAGGGCGCGGTCCAGACCAGTCCCAGGCTGAAAGCGGAATCCCACAGTGATCCCAGGGCGTGACTGGGCAGCGAAGGGCGCCGTTACGGCCTCAGAATCTTCTCACTGTGCCGAATGTCTAATGAAGGGTACCGATGTCCCAGTGAACAGTGAAAAAAGCAGATTAAAATGATAGAACACAGCCCTGCAAAAAAGAGGAAGAGGTTCAAATTCCGAGTGTGAAGCAGTAAGAATCGACCAGCTTGGAGGTTTTTTTTTTTCTTCGTTCGTTTGTTTTTGGCCAAGTCTGTCGTTGTTGCCCGTCTGTGTTCCTGAACGTCTGAGGTGCTCTGGTTGTGAAGGAGGCTGGTATCCTGGCTTGAGGTTACAGGTCTGTGGCAAAGGTCTGGTCCATAGCAGCTTAGTTAATGGCCATCATGAGGAAACCCGGGTACGGCAGGCCCACTCAGATGTTGACAGCTGAATGGATCTGAAGACCAAGAAAGAGGGAAAACTCAGTAGAGAACCAAGTGGGTCCCACCCAGATGTGGTGGGCTATTAAACAGTAAGGCTATGGGGGAGCAGAGGAACGTAGCTGCCCACAGAAACTCCCCAGTCTGATAAGGATGTCGACAGCTCACACCCAGCCAGCCTTGTCCATCTCGGTGCCCCGACACCGTGAACAATGCTGTTCTGAGGTCTGCTTACGTACATAAAAAATCTCAACAACCAGCCTTACTGTGAAGCTGCAGAAGCCGTGTTTATTTTCCAGCGTGCTTCTTTTCTCAGAAAGCTGGTGACACGCAGGTCGTTGGTTTAGACTCGGTAGGGATGGGGTGGGGGCAGAGGGACGCTATGTACATCTGAGGTATTTCCACGTAAGAGGAAAAAAATAAAAATAAAACAAGCAGGGTGTTTCCATACAGTATGCATAAACGGAGTGTTTCTCCCAAGGGCAGAGTCGATTGGGCTGGGGGGCAAAGTGCTTCAGAACACAGAGAGCGTATTTACAGTGAGCAAAGTCCACTTTTATTCCCTGTCCCTTTCCCTTTCTCGGGCCCCCCCCCCAAACGCTGCTCAAAGTGTTTCCGTAGGGTTAGTGCCATCCGGTAAGTCACAACTTTTTTCAGTAGCTTAACAGACACAAAAATATTCAATGGCCCTCAAAACAGAAACATTAAATTAACACAAAATAATTGTCATTAAGGAATGAGTTTAGTAGAAAAGTACAGTCTGTTCCTCAAGCAGCTGTTTGATGAGACCAGCGCTGGGTGCTCTGGGTCAGTGCAGTACCGTGACACCATAAAGGAGTGATGTGGCCCAGTCCGGCCCAGACTGCCAGCACTCTCCTGCTTCCAGCTGTGCAACAAACACACCACTTGGTAGATTCTCAGCTTCTGCCGAACTTCTCTCCCCCCCCCCCCTTTTTTTTTTTTACAGTGATGGTGGAGCGATGCAGTTTTCCGCCCCAAAATTGTCGCTGAAGGAGGAGGAGCTGAGGATGAGGATGGTGAGGAAGTGGTGGGACGTGAGGGTGTACAGCAGGAGGGGGGGCGGCTTGGGCAGGGGGGGGGGGGCTCAGTTCTGCTGCAGGATCAGGCTCTCCAGCTCGTCGGCTGAGCGCAGCAGGAATGCAGCTGACTCGCGGTAACCGGCGATGAGCTGCCGCACTGCCGTGATCTCGGTGGGGCTCAGCTGCGATGAGTGGCTCACACTGCCCCCCCCACCCCGTCCATGGCTGTTGGAGCTGGAGGATGAGGAGTTAGAAGCCAGAGACTTCATGCTGAGGTCAGTCGGCCCTGGAGAGAGAGTGGCACAGGGTTACTGAGGAATTCTCAGACAGGCCTGATCAATCAAATCTACACAGTGTGGTACGGGGGCTGGCATGGAATTCTCAGACAGGCCTGATCAGTCAGATTTGCACCATCAATGTAGTGCAGGGCTAGTGAGGAATCCTTGGGGGAGATCAGACATGTGACTAACAAACAGTAAACATCAGATTAACAGATCAATGAATTAACAGAATTTAAACAAATGCCGTGATATCATGATAGAAAATAGGAAAAGTGAAAATTTCCCCTTTCCAAGCTGATTGTTGTGGTTTTTATACACCCAGAGTGAACTGAAATCACATTAAGCTGAAATAACAGTTTTCTTTCAGTGCAGTGACTCCTGATCTAAAAGGGACACGAATTATCACATTTCTAAAAGGGTTCTGTTATTAACAGGCTTGTCATTAAAATACTGATAACTTGGAGCATCTACGCTTTGCCTGCCAAATAAAGAAACGTGCAATCACCGTTGCTCTGTGCTGCACCGGTTGTCAGGGAGACGGGGTGTTGCATACTGGCGCCCAGGCCCCCGTAACCACGGTAACTGTAGCTGAGCCCGCCGTTGATGTAGAGTTGGTCCTGGGGGTAGGTTGAGGCGGCCAGGGAGTACGCCGGGTGTGTCAGGGGGGCCAGCTCCCGTGTGCCCGGCTTGTCTAGTGCAATCTGTTCTTCCTGGGGAGGGAAGTCAGCGTCAGACTCACTGTGTCCGAAAGGCACCGAAACCTGGGCCTCTCTGCGCGGGATGGCGCGGCGGCACCGAAACCCGGGCGCCTCTGCGCGGGATGGCACTCACCGCCGCCTGGTATGTGTCCAGACGCAGCCTCTTGGCCGCCTTGCGCGTCTCGCTCTCACAGGCAGCCGCCAGGATGTTCTCGGCCATGGCGGACGTGAGGTGCGGGGGCGTCGGCCGCGTCTGGCGGGAGAGCAAAGGGTTACTGGGGCGGGTGGTGTGCTGGAACACACCAGCAAATTAATGGCCCTGCCTTCGGGGAACAACGTGCCCTAACTTAACAGAACTGGGAGGCACAGCTGGCAGGCGGAGCCCAGACTAATACAGCCCCCCCACCCACACTCCCCGCCTCCTGTGAGACCCCACCCCCCACACATGCCAGTACCTCCATGCCGTTCTTCTTCATCCGTCTGCAGGACTTGAGGTAGGTGCGTATACGCTTGCGGGCTCGCTCCTGGAATTCGGGGAACTGACGGCTGCACGACTCGATGATGGCCTGGATCTTCTCCTTGGGCTGCTTGGAGATGGGCACCATGCGGTCGAGGTTCTCATCCACGAAGAGCCTTACAAACATCTGCCCAAAGTGGTGAGGGTGGGGGGGGGTGGGGGTGTGCAAGGACAAAGGAGAATGAGGCACAGCTTGAACACGGCTCCAGCATGCGGGTGACCCAGCAGTATGGCTGACATACTTACATTGAAGGCTTTCAGTCTCTCCGGGTCCACCCCCTCGGTGTCGTTGATCTTGTCGCTGTCGTCATGGTCGTCGTGGTCGTCGTCGTCGTCATCTCCGGCCTGGACCCGGCTCACTGTCAGATCCTCTGCTCCGGGCTCCGTCTTCACAGAGTCGTAGCTCCTTGAGCCGTAGGGTGGAGACTGCCCACAGAGAGGCGGAGGGGGTTGTGAACGTCCAAGGTCACTCCAAATAATTGGGTGCTTTCTTAATGACCTCATGTCACTCGGCCCCCTATCATTGCCCGCCTTCTGACAACGAGGCTGGTTCATCAGCGCCCACGACAAGCCTTCCCATTCTTCCTGCCTGGACCCCTTTGCCTTTCTATCTTTTCTGAGGCGGGATGGTCTCCCTGGCCTTTTCAGCTGCTCTCGAAGGCCTGCCTTTTTTCTCAGACCTTCACAGATGCACAATCAATAAGGACTGTCCCCGTCAAGGCAGCCACCTTTGTGGAACACCTTTGTCAATTTGGAGTGACTGCTGGACAAGCAAAATCTTTTGATTAGCGCATTGTTAACGATGGCTGCACGTCCGTGTTCAAGCTACGTGTCTGCCTTTACGAGTGCCGAGGGATGTATTGAAGCATTCCGCTTAGCGACTTTCCATCAGGCCTTCAGAGTGAGAAAAGCACGCCAGTCTGTGTGAATGACTCTGACACGTCTAATATTTCTGAAGCGGCTTTACTATAGTTTTTTCCCCCCCCCAGAGCTGGGGAGCGATTATGGGCTCCAGGCTCATTAGGAGAGAGGCCTTGGAAGGGCTCCTCATGTACAGCTAGGCCGTGAGCACGTGTGGAGCACGTACAGATATTCGCTGCTGGCATTTGGACCACACTGATATTGGACAGAGCATGACACTAAAAGATTTCCTCAGCTATACTTGTAGTAGAAAAACAAGATAATATATGACAGCGATGTGTATAATAGACATGATCCCACCTTTTTTTAAATTAGAGGAAAGAAAAAGGAAAAAAAAAGACCCTCAGTAGTTTCATTAAAGAATCCTCCTGTGGTTTGTGCCCCCACCTTGTTGTTGTAATCCCTGACGTGGCCGTCCAGGTGCGCGGGCTTGCTGGGGTACTTCCTGCGCAGGCCGTCAGGGGGGTCGGGCTGGAAGGGGCCCAGTGAGGCCCCTGCGGGCTGCCGGTCATCACAGGAGGAGGAAGAGGATGTGATGCTGAAATCCAGGGGGCAGCCGGCGCCGGTGCCGTTCACCTCGCTGTACGGGCCCGCACTAGGGTTCTGGGACGAGGGTGCCGCGCCCGCAGATGGGGGAGTCAGACTGAGCATGCCATTCCCACTGCCGCTCTCCGAAGACGAATCATCTGTTGCGGTGGGGGGGGGGAATGTGGGTGTCACATGATCAGACAGATGTAGACTGGGCATTTTTGTGACCGCCAGTGCAGCCATGAATACATTTATTAAGCTTTCATAAATGTGGTCGGGTCTTTGAGCATTATATCTGCTGGTGTTTCCGCACAGGCTGCAGATACAACAGGACACCTTGGCTCCGTTGATACATGCCAGCTGATTACATTCCGTCTGGGAAAACACATGCAAATATGGTTGCCACTAGCCGACAGTAGAGGGCGCTGTTTGCAGTTAAAAGCACTACTCCAGGAGGGGTGTAGTGGAATACAGAGGTGGTCACACGGTCACGCTGCGCGCATTGGTGGTGGCAAGGCGTGGTACTGGCTGGATTACTGAATTACATAGGTCCAATCTGGAGCAGGGTCAGCGCTGGGTGATAGCCAGGTGATTCACGACAGTGTGGTGAATAAGGAGCCAGGTCTGAATCTATTCCGGACGTGTTCTGTCAAATTAAACCATCGGCTGTGTCCCATGATCAGGTCCGATCCTGAAATAGTGCTGTTGTGCCTTTGTAACTGCGCTCGATTAGCATCTCGCTTTCTGTTCACAGTATTAATGAAGAAGTAGGCGAGGTCGCCTGGAATCACCGTCAGGTGGACAGAGCCAGGCAGGCTCAAGGAACAAACAGTTAGACACTGACCCCCCCCAAGACGGTTATTTGGCACCTCCCTCTGGGCAGGCCGTACTTTGTCGGGCTCCTTAACAGTGGCTGATTACGGTGTCTAAACGTCACCCTGGGGGAAGTTATACCTCCCTGCTATGACGAGGCGGCTGTGGGTGGGGGCCCCGCTGGCGCAGGCCTGCTGGGGGTGGGGGACAGTGAGACAGCAGTAACCCAACCGCTGACGGGAGGCTGGGAACGTGCTGAATGCTGCAACTTTCCCATAACATTCTCATAACGCTCTCGTCTCTGAGCATCTCCGTCCCATAGGCGTGCTGATTAATTATTAATTAAGGGCCTTAACGAGGAAGTATCAGGGAAGACGAAAGACCTCTGACATATCCATGGGGGGTGTGTGGAGGGGGTGAATGCCGAGATCAGGATGAGCATGGGGGGGGGCTATGAAAAGGAGAGGCGGGGGAGCAAGCCATTTGGTGCATGTGAGGAGCGGGGGGGGGGGGGGGGGGGGGGGGGGGGGGAGTGCCTATGAGGAGATCAGCAGTACAGGGGGAGGAGAGAGACAGAAGGAGAATTAAGAAGCGGGTCAGAGTGTGGGGGAGATGAAGAGCAACGACGGAGGGGGGGAGTGTGGGGGGGGGAGGCAGAGGGACAGGGGTGGATTTATTAGGGTATAAAGAGTATTCATGTGTGCAGAGTGATGCTAGCCTAATTCTGGACAGACCTACACAAACCCCCTGCAAGAGCACTGCACCGGTGCACTGGGGCTGCTGTGCTGCCCCTCCCTGCGGCTCTTAAAGGGCCAGTGACCTATTTCTGCTATGGCACGCTGTACACAGGATGGGAAGCCTGTGGGGGGGGGGGGGGTGTCAAGGACCTGCGCACCAGGAAGCCCTTGTATCGCTTCACATTCTGGAAGATGCCAAGAACTGAGAGTTGGGCCCAAACAGGGGGCTTACAGGGTCCCTGCCGCCTGATGGCTCCCATGTCAGTGTGTGCCCCCTCCCCCGACACGCACTGCAATACAGACGTGCAGTCACATGGTGCCCGTGAAAGCGGGGGGCAGGAGAGGAGCACGCCGACAGAACAAAGGCACAGTGTCCCGACATCACGCTGGAGAAGTGCCAACGTGCCGTCGGCTGCAGAGTGAGAAGGAGGCCGCGGCTTCAGACGTCACGGTGACAGCGTGGTCAGTGTGGCCCTAGGTGGGGGGGGGGCCTCCGAACGCTCGCCCACAGCCCCGCTAACCCCATAAAGCTGCAGCATTTTTGCTTGGGCCCCCTGCTAACTCACCACTCACGGCGCTGCCATTTACTGCCATTACCAAATTACAAATGGAGAGCCGTGTAATTGGCTGGTTTCAAATCCGGCACGATGACCTTGAATTAAGCAGCTCAGCTCCTGGGAGCAGCACTCGCATTCTCTCACTCACTTGCGGGTCTGGCTTCTTCCTCCTCTTGTGACGGCTTTTGATTTTCTGGGAATCTAACCAGGTGTTTCTCCTGTGCGCCTTTAAAAAAAAAAAAATCTAACCTTAACTTGTCCACCCAACCCCAAATACACTCTTTCCTTCAACTATCTCCCAACTTAAAGCCATGTTAACCCACGACGGCGCTTGGCAGGCTGGGAGGGAGTGCGGTCAGAATCCAAATGCATGGGGGCCGCCGGTCGGCCATGTCACTGGATGACACTTGACTCCCACACCTGTCTGCACTGGACCCTCGCCGACGCCTTGGGCTGAATCCCACAAATGGTCGACACTCATACACAATGATTTAAATCAGAAAAGACTGTCATTCACATTTACTGTTCTGTCTCAAGTTACCTGTCCCATCGAATAATACTACATACAAACCTCTAAATATATTTAAAAAGTCACACAAAACAATCTAATAGTCTGTATTCAAGAGTAAACAAATTAATTTCAATCATAATTCAATCTGTAGCACCCACCCTGTGCCGTATAGGATGTGGCATGTCAGCATCTGCACTTCTGATTGGTGCAAATTAATTGCAGATTATTGTTATCCAATCAGACTTTTTCTCAGGTGTATCAGCAGGCCAATAACTGACCTGGTTTTGGTGTACAACTAAAGTGCCAGTCCCCACTGGTCATGAGGGATTCCCAGACCTTGACTGCGTGGGAATGGACACCTGAATGAATGAGTAGGGTTAGAATTTGAGTAGAGGCGACACTGCAGGTGCCAGGCTGTGTACCATGTGACCACTCCCACAATACACCCAACGCACCCTTAAAACAAACAGTGTTTTTCCGCGTGTCGTAGGTGTTAGAGTATGTAAGGGAGAGTCTGCAGGTTTCTCAGGCAGACCTCCAGCTGGGGTCCCTTCCTGAGGCCTTCTCTATCTGGCCCAGAGTCTCCATCTTCCCTGTGTCTCCCTGCTCTGAGCTCTAATGGAGGCTGTGAAAGTCTGTCACCGGGTTTTCAGCCCGAACCGCTCCCTGAGAGGGAGGGAGCGACGATCCTATCACCACTATGACCGCCCCCTCGGCCAATCGGGGCTTGGGAATGTGACTGACAGGCCCTTGCTCCAACAGGGCTGACAGCAGGTGCATAACCCTGTGTTTACATCGCGAGGCACAACGCTCCCCACGCCGCCGCGGACCGGAGATCGATAACGGTTTGTTTAACATGTGTGAGCGAGATCCAGCAGGCTGTGATGGGGGCTGCCGCTGTTCTCACACGCACCTACAATTATCCAGTTATGCTTATAATAATAAAACACACACAATTAGCATTTGTTAGCCCACCGACGGAACGCAGCCATAACTGGGTTGTGTAAGCAGATGGGAGGGGGGGCTTAGAGGGAGTAACCTGTCTCTCCGATGGCCTGAACCTCCCCCCACCCCCTCACGGCCAAGCAGACCCCAACGCAGGCAGTAACAGATGCTAATTCTTTCACTTCCACCTCTCCCATTTCCCTGGGGGGTGTTGGTCTGTGGGTGTGGGGGGGGGGGGACCCAGGCTGGCTCCCCTTTGCAGGATTACAGTGGATTATCCTGGTAAG